TCCATAGGTACTCTATACTATAAGTTAGAATTCATACTTTTTAGTTATATATAACCATATTACATATATTCAATTTCTATAGATAACATCATTACTTTTACGTGCCACCAACTTGAGTTTGAAATCAATCGTTTTGCTCAGAGTTCGCTTGTAAGGGCAAGTTCTGATACTGGCATTAGCTTAAGAGAGTATTCTCTTTATAGTGCATCTGTGCATACCGAATTTTTTGACAAGTTATATACTTAAATATTGTTACATACGAGTGACTGAATTTATTTGAACAAATATGATCAACTTGTTTAAAGAGTATAACATTTGTGAACCTACGAGAACTTTTGATAGAAGCAAAATACTTGGTGAAAAACACCAACCCGAAATTTTTTAAGTCCATGGTGAAAGTGATGCAGCAAGATCAGAAAGTCTTTGGTTCAAATTGTTTTCTAGCCTACTCTGTACATTCTGAATTTTTTTTTTTTTTTACTTTTCAAATATATAACAAATCGAAGCAAAATTTATAGTAGGGTTGGACAATGTATGTAAAATTTGATTTGATTTGTTATATATTTTGCTTCAAACCAAATTCTTGATATCCATAATTCTATGAAACAAAACAAATACTAATATTAAATATCTTAAAAACAGAAGCAAATCCAAAAAACTAATATTTTAAGAATGAATATCTTATCTCATCATTTATATGCATATATTTAAATTAAAGATTGTAATACACATTATGTAATTATTATATTTTATGTAAGTTTTTTCTTAAATTGCTTATTTTAATTCTTATAGTTTTAAAAAGTAAATAATTTTTGTCAAAAATTATTAAGTTTTATTATTTTGGAATTTTTATTTTTTACTTTTATGGAATCGAATATCCAATTAATAATATAACATTTCCAGGATATCCAGACATCGGATTTTGGGATATTTACGGAACATGTCAAATCAAATAATTAATTATTCAAATAGAACTAATCGGATCACCAATCTCCAAAAACTCGGATATTTGATTTGTCTCCACGCCTACTTCATAGAACGATATTCACAACATGTCTAAAAGATATTAAACTGGCCTACATAATTTATTTATAAGTAAATAAATTTGTGTGTTTGATAATCCATCAAAAAGTTAGTACCACTGGTTAAGCAATAAGCAAGCTATCTCAATGTAGGGAGGTCTCAATCAGAGACGGGTTATAAATGTTAGCTTTGAACCTCTAAAGTTTTAAAAAATAATATACATAAACATATGTCGTTAAACTTTTTAAATTATAATTAATTTGTTTTTGATCCCCAAAATATCATCGGCTCTGGCCTCAATAAGCAGGAAAAAGGAAAGATTTAAAATGCAAACAATCTTTAAATAACTCCATAGTTATGTTCATCCTAAACATCCCTTCCTTAGATTACCATCTCTTTCGTACACATGAAACCCCAATGGTTCATATTCGTTTAATAGTTTAGCCTTATGGGCACTAAATCATTGTGAACCCCCAGGGCGACGTTGGCTTCCCTGGGCCACGGTGCCGTGTCGTCGTGGCCAAGGTTTCCACTTAGCTTCAAGGTATCTCCTCGGTATCAGCCTTGGATACCTCTGCTCAAAATCCCACTCTTTACCTTCAAATATTATCCCTTCAGGTGTAACCTCATGAACTGCACATGCCCTTTTATAATTACACATCTCGGCATCTATCGCGGTCATACGGATNTTCCCTGGGCCACGGTGCCGTGTCGTCGTGGCCAAGGTTTCCACTTAGCTTCAAGGTATCTCCTCGGTATCAGCCTTGGATACCTCTGCTCAAAATCCCACTCTTTACCTTCAAATATTATCCCTTCAGGTGTAACCTCATGAACTGCACATGCCCTTTTATAATTACACATCTCGGCATCTATCGCGGTCATACGGATTTCAACGTTCGCTGTACCGAGAACAGACCTAAAATGGCAGCGGTGGATCTCCTCCTCTAGCTTTTGGCCACCTTCCAAGAGTACATGGAAGGTATGGCCCAATGGTGGCTTCTTGGCTCGTCTCCATCCGTATTCAAGGCCACTGTTTATAGCTTGACAAAAGTAAACGATCTCTGGACGTTTCAAGCCTTGCATTTCATTGCGTATATTAAGCTCCGTTGTGACGAAATGTGACCTCCCGGCGTAGGAAAATGTGGTGAAGTGCACCACAAGGAACCACGTTAGGGTTCTTATAGATTTATCAAGGTTAAGCGTCATTTTTGCTCTCTTTTCGTGATAATTTGTGTTATGTCGTTTGCCTTGGGATTTTGAGATTTGGTTTGCTCTTCATTCTTCGTTTTAAAAAAAAAAAGTTATTTAAAAACTGAATCTGTTGCAAAGTCCATATAATTATTTTGTTATTTTCATGTGGACAGCTTTGATATAACAATAAAAGCACCATAAATGATAGTTACCATGAGAAACTTGAATAACGGAATCGTTACTTCGTAAAATTTAAGTTTTTAGTTGAAAAACTGTGTACAAACCAGATTGTTTCAGAGTCTAAAACATTCAAAGTATTATATACGTGATTTTGTGATTTGGTGTTCTTATATTTATCTTAAAAATGTATTTATTTTTTTTTTGACAAAGATTTATCTTGAAGCTTGGTTATTCATTAGTATATTTTATCTTCAAAATACATTTTTGAAACGATTGGTTTGCTTAAATAATTCTACTCCATTCATTAATAGAATTGTTGTCTTTAAGATGTTTAGAACATCATTATTGAGGTTGGATATAAATAAACAAACATAAATTACAAATTATATTAATATTTAGTTAAAATTTTTAGTATAATTTTTTTTCAAAGGTTTTGGCATACTCTCTAATTAAATATTAATATATTTGTGATTTATGTTAAGGACTTCAGTTTGAAAAGTAATAATTATGCTATAAACACCTGAAACCAGTAATCGGTTTCAATTTAACATTTGATGTGATTTGATTTTTAATGGGTTTTTAGATGATTTCAGTAAGTTGCAGAGATTTAGTTAATTTTGGTTAAACTACTCTAAAATATTACCTAAAACCATGAGATTTAGATTTTAATTTTTTTAATTAAGAAAATCCACCCAAACACCCTAAAATCACTTGAAAACTTTAAAACTCCACAACTTAAAATACTAGGGTTCGTCAACACCCCGCGCAAGCGCGGGGTTAGTAAATGTTGTATATCCCAATATACTTATTTCCAAGATCCCTGATAGAATTGTTCACATCACTATATCTTGAAGATTATAATTCATCTGGGAAAGACACGCTAATTAATAAATAAAGTACGAATTCACGTTGGACAATATGTTCTCCAAAACTTACATGANTACTAGGGTTCGTCAACACCCCGCGCAAGCGCGGGGTTAGTAAATGTTGTATATCCCAATATACTTATTTCCAAGATCCCTGATAGAATTGTTCACATCACTATATCTTGAAGATTATAATTCATCTGGGAAAGACACGCTAATTAATAAATAAAGTACGAATTCACGTTGGACAATATGTTCTCCAAAACTTACATGACTGTGCTTTGGAGAACATAGACCACATTTTTTTTTTTTTGTAACACAGACCACATATCTTATTATTTGGTATTGCATATAGAAAAGCAGTTCAAGAGAGTAGAGCTGATTATTTTCGTGAGCTGTGTGAGTTTTCATGGATCATTTCAGATGCTTCTACGATAAACTATTTCATGATTAGATTAACTGAGAAGCTTTGACATATGACTCTCAAGTTATCTTTACTCTGTTTTTCTTTTACCAATTCTCTGTTTTCTATTTATTTATCTCACATTGTTTGAAATTTTTGAGACTTTGTAATAGGCAGAATCTGTTATCAGTCATGTAACTTATTTAATCAAATAACCAAAGAGGTTTATGTGAAAATAATTGGTCCCTTGACTCGTATAGTATTATTAAAATGGCTTAGAAATTGTCTATCTGGAGGGTTTCTTTCTCCTCAAGGTTGTCCCACAGTTGATTTCCTGACCATCTCCAGACAACCTTAGGAGATGTAAGAACTGGCTGTCATTGTGGCTTTGTGTGCCTGATGCTGTAGTCACTCTTTGAGGTGATGAGTGAATCCACCACATCGTCTTGCAGCCATTCTCAGAATCTTTGAACAAACGTCATGCTAACAGGTTACAACACAGGAGTTGCAAACAAATAAAGAAGTTAACTTTTACTTTGTAAATCTAAGTTGGATTGTTGTGTTTTCCTTGACAAATGTCATTGAACACCACTCACTGGCTAAGAAGAAAGAAACAATAACTTGGAAGGAATTTAATAGAAAAAAAAATGATTTGTGTCAATAACTGTTTCTACGGATTCATCGGCCTCACATTTATAGATCCCTTCCATTCTACTACGAACAACATTCCTCCCAAGAACTATATCTATAAAACAATATTTCTTACACCACATTGTTATTTCACCTCTAAGAGCTGACTTATAAAAGAAACCAGAATCAAGAAACAAATTTAAAACCCCTGAATCGAGATGATACAACCATTCCTTATATCACCATGCTTAGGTTTCTCCTTTCAGTGATCAATCTTGATGGTGGAATAGGTCGATACAACTCTACTTGATCTTTTGAAAGTACTGTTGAAAGAGCAGAGAAAGTGTTCAACTACCCTAAGGTTAGAGTAACTGACGATGAAAACCTTGGGACGAGCACTTCCGCGCTACCTATGGATTTGGAAGCAGCCAATTTTTCCAAAAGCTCCCACGTTGCTTTGCATTAAGCCACAACCTTGGTTTTGTTCGCTTCATATTCTTGGAATAGGAACTTGGCTACATTCATCAAACAGAGCTTCGTCTGTCTCTCCCAATACTTCCCTCACATTCAAAGACTCTTTTACCGCTTGGTTCCAATGGCCACACATGTTTCTTTCCATAGCCGGGAACACGATTGGCATTATCACTTAATAGTTTTGAGTAATCAGATTCTTTATGTGATCGTTGTTCCACGGAAACAAAGCTCTTTCAGCCACCTGAAAAAGAAGAACCAACACTGAATCTAAACAACTCTTACCATTATTACATAATCACAAACTCAGAACAACACATGAAAGTGAGAGCTGTTGAGACATCTTGCGATTTGACGAAACAAAGGAACCATACATTTCTGAAACTCGGCTGCTTGAGTCGCTTCCAAGACTTCTTCAGGCTCACCAAATAAATTCCTTAGAACTATTGGTCGCAGGCTACACTTTAGTAGGCCTCTATTGACGGTGTCAGAAAGCTTGGAGTCTTTCTCTACAAACTGAACAATGCAATAAGAAAGATGTTGATGATACGCAGCTGCACAGTAGGTCTGTGTAGTGGTATCAAAGCCCGGGTTAGAAAAAGCTTGTGCTCCTCTTTCAACGGCAATGTGAAACCATTGATTATACTTCCGAGAATCTCAAGCAACTCCACGATGCCATTGATTCAGTTCCCCATGGTAGGTGTTGTCGCAAACCCATCAACCGAAATTCCAGCGCTCTGAAACTTATTACATCCCAACTCCTAATGCATAAAACCAACAACAAAGTTCTTGTTTTTTTTTTAATATTGACCAATCAAGCTTCATACATAGTTTTAACATTAGTACCGAAAGAAAGATTCAAACATAGATATATACCCAAACGAAGAATCTACTATCTGACCTGTAAAAGATTGGCAATGGTTTGAACCGTAGCGGTTTTGTTACATTGCACTTCGTGGGATCTGACTATGAACTTCTCCTTATACGATAAACCATCCTCCATCAAGCTACCCAACATGATGCCTCTTTCCACCGCCGAGTAGACATCTGTGATGAGCATCCACCATTAGAAACCGAATTCCCTTCTTCCCTGCCATCACCGCATCGCTCCACTGGTTCGTCTTCACCCTTTGATTCTTCAAACTGCAACAAAATCAAAGCCACACAAAAGATAGATGATGAGAAAGTAAATTATTTGTAGATAAAAAAAAAGGGGATTCGTTATAATTGACGGCGTCGGTAGTGGAGACGGAGAGACATGAGAAAAGATCACGCGAGAGTGGAGATACATGGAACAAAGATCTGCGGAAAGAGAAAAACAGACGTGGAGAGTGAGAGCGAGTCGGAGCAGAGTAGAGACGCAGAGAAAGATAGGTGGATAGGACCAGAGCTGCCACGAAGTTGGAGAGAAGGCATCATAGTGCTTAGTTACTTCACGGAGAAGAGAGGCAGAGGAGGAGAGGAAGCGTTATAGTTTTTGGTGATTTCGTAAAATAAAGAAATTCAGTAAACGTGGATATTTTTAAAAGCAAAAAAAAAACAAAAAAAAAGAAGCTAAGGAGAATCGAACCCCTATACTCATGGAAGGAAGTTTTAACTAAGCAGAATATACCACTTGGCCAAATGATCATCGATTGTTCATAGCCAGCATTACTTACTTTTGTAGTTAAAAAACCGTGCATGGACCATTAAAAAATGCTGACATGGCGTGCTGGGAGTGAGTAAACTCCCCCATTATAATATAGATTTCNAAGCTAAGGAGAATCGAACCCCTATACTCATGGAAGGAAGTTTTAACTAAGCAGAATATACCACTTGGCCAAATGATCATCGATTGTTCATAGCCAGCATTACTTACTTTTGTAGTTAAAAAACCGTGCATGGACCATTAAAAAATGCTGACATGGCGTGCTGGGAGTGAGTAAACTCCCCCATTATAATATAGATTTCTTTACTTCACTGAGGAGCTTTGGATGTGACACAGAGATCTGATAAATAACAATACAAAATACTTATTTCAACAAATATATTTGATATGATTACATCTGTTAATCACACGATTATTTGAATAAGCTTGTGTACTTTTTTTGGTAAAACACAAGCTTGTGTATTGATATTGATCTGGTGAAAAAATATTTCTGTTCAGCTTTGTCATTCGAGGTTAGTGTAAAGTTGGTGTTGTTTGATATAATCTATCACTCCATCTTCAGTCAAGTACTTAACTGATAATCCTCGCGAAATGCATTTCCTGTTAGAAGCAAAACAAGTCATGTTTAGTGAAAAATGAAAGTTTCTGAGGATAAACAGACTGATAAAAAGTTTAAGCAAAAAATAAAAAATAAACAGACTGATAATTACCTTAATCTACTTGAGCTAATTTGATTAGGAACAGAATTGTTGACGATTCTGATGTTATCCTGCAAAAGAAACCGTGTTAAAATTTGACTGATTGATCCAGAGAAACAGAAACAAGAAAATCGGTAAGTACTTACACGGGTTTCGTGTAAGATTCTGTCACCAAGTATCATACTTTCAACATCTTGTTCTTCTCTACGGATGCACACAATCCCATAGTCTTTGCAAATGGCCTTTACCTTCCCAAACACAAAATCAATGAAAAGAGAACATCACTGTGAGTAGAATCGACAAAAACGAAATCTCAGTTTATATAACGATGATGTGCCTTTGGTTTACCTGTTCAGGGATCCAAACACCGGGAGTGCAAAAAGATTGCAGTAAATCCGAGCCACATAATAGCATGACTTTGAGGGATTCTAGCATTATAAACAACCATACACTATAACTTTAGTTTTTCACTTATGATGGATGACACATGCATATCTCCATGAGACTGATACAAGATGCTAAAAGCCACATAGGACGACAATTTTTTCTGCAGTTATCTTACCCTCGGGTACGTGTCTATTTTGTGTAAGAAAAGTCTTGACCCTTGATAAAACCATCAAACTTCTCTGGTAGCTATCTTGGGATGCCTGTAGAAATAACTTTCACAGTTTTGTAAGGACACAACGCTTTCTTCCTCTAAAGAGAACTTATCAAAAGATTTAAAGGGGGCGAGAGAGAGAGAGAGAGAGTACCTCCCAAGGATCAACCATTATAAAATCGGAGCTTTTGCAGGCTAGATTACACATCTTTAAACGGTGATCTGCAGATAAAAGTCCCTACAAAAAGACACTGATGATCTTATTATTTTTTCTAAAGGAGACTAAATAGTAAACAGAAGAAGCATCATCATTAACAGGGGACATTAGCAATCAATTTAGAAAAATAAGAGTCATTACTGGAAGAAACTGAAGTTGGCAAAAGAATACCTTCTTCTCGTATGCATCATTTACAGGGGACATATAGCCTCCAAGAACATGAAATCCCTCCGAGTTTAATGCATCTCTCGCCATCTCTAAAATACATCAAAAAAAAAAGTCATCAGTTCTATATAAGGGCGCACATACACTTTAGGGGAAGATCAGCTGTCAAAAACTTTGATTAAAGATGAATATTCCAGAAACCACCAATCTCTGATGTTCGTGTAGGAAACTCACCAAACATACGTAAATGCATGAAAGTTGGAGGGTTAAAACTCCCAGTTGCCACAAGCACGACACAGGTTTTGTCCCTGATTCATACAAACAAAGTCAATACCTTTTATCATACTAAAGAATTGAAGGGACAAGGAACAAGTCAAACTCAAGAACAAGCTTTGTAATTGACTCAGGTTTTGACAATTTATCGACTGGTAAGGAGACATCCATCGGTATTTGATGATCGAATCTGAGACGATCACTCCGGCAAATGATCGAGAGAGGATCAAAACGAAGAATCAAAATCAAAGATAGATCGGAGTACGAAACGTCGTCGTATATAAGAATTATGATATTACGACGCCGTTTGAATTGGGTTAAAGTTGATTTAAACGCACCGTGTTGGCGTTTGCGAGGGTTTTGTGTGTGGAATTTTTATATTCTTTTTCCATGGTGGTTAAAAAGTAACTTTTTAAAGGGAAAACTAGATTTTGAACCGGCTTTCAAAACATAGGTATACTAGGTGATTCTTCCGTGCTCATACACGGGTATGAATATTTTATAAAAGTAAAATTTTATAATAATTGATTAATATTTAGCTTTAATTTTGAATCAATTTATATGTATAATTTATATTAATAAATATTATATTATTCTAATTAGATATATGATTTTGGATATATTATAGTAAGTTTGATTATTTTTTCGAATTAGTAGCCGATTTGGTTATCAATTCGGTATATTGGATAACATATATTTTTCGAATTCAACTATAATATTTTTATTCTAAATATAATAATTTTTAATAATTTTCTTATTTTCATTTAAGTTGGTTATTTCTTAGATATGTAAATATATTATAGTTGGACTATGTACAACTTAATATATATTGTACTTAAAATGTATTATAAACTGAAGTGTTTGATTCAAAATTACATAAATGAATATAACAATAATATTTATAAGTCTCATGCATATATTTAAATTTTACAAAAGAACTAAATTACAATTGGTTAATATTTTATTTTTCTTTTTAATATGTTTTGAGTCATTATATAATTTATATGTATAAAAGTACTATTATAAATTATATATTCTTATTGTAGTTAGATCTTTAGTTTTGGATATAAGGTAGATTAGTTGATTCATGCATATTATAACTATATTGAGTTAAATATATTTTTAAATTAGAAATGAAGTATAATTAAATTTATTGTAGTGAATCAAATCAAATAAGTTTTATTTATCACTTAAATATACATGCATTTTCATAATATTTATCAAACTATATGTGATTTCTAAAAAATATTAAAAAATAAAATGTAACAGGTAAATTTTTGGATGTTCATGAACATATGTACTTTATTACTTTGAAAATATATTTTATGTTATTTAAAATATATATTAAAGAGAATATTACTATTTTGTAAGCTTTCCTTTTTAATAAAATCATATTATATACATAATTTTTTCGTTTTTAATTTTTTGTTAAAACTTTATAAATTTTTCCTTTTTATCATGTATGTTATTTGGAAAAATTAAATAAAAGTAAATAAAAAATAATAATATTTAAATGTAAAAATTCATAAAGGGTATCTATGTAATAAACCATCGCGAGAGTTAACGTAAGTGCGACACGTAAGAAACTGACTTCTCAAATAATATTTATAGAGATTTCTGTTTTAACTTTTAAAAAAAAAAAATAATTTCCATGTTTATGTTTTTTCTGTAATTATATTTTTTTCTAATCATATCTATATATAAATCTTAATCAAAATATATTTTATAATATATTTTAATCTATTTTGATTTTTATAAATCATAGTAATTTAAAAATTAATTCGGCATGCATTCGTTTCTTGGTAATCATATGTCTGTATGCCCGTTCTTTTATAATTATATTTATCTATTTTAGATCTTGATCCGCAGTTCAAGTGCAAATATAATGTTAATTTACAAAAAAAAGTTTTGTTTCCTGTAAATATGTTAAAATTTGATTACTATTTTGTTATTAACTTTCCAATCATAAGTTTATGAATACATGTTGAAGATTTATTTTGAAATTTAAAATATACTGATTTTTTTAGCTTGTCAAAAATATATTTCAAATAAAAACTATAAATAATATATATATATATATATGTGTGTGTGTGTGTGTGTGTGTGTGTTTACAATTATGCTAAATTATAACACGTACCATCAAAAACCATAATTTATATAACAATTGTAATATCATAATTTTAGTAAAATAGTCTAAACGGTCCAACTATATCCCAACGGCTTCTGTAACTTATACTTTATATATATAAGAATTATAGAAATGAAAATTTTGTTGTGTTGCTTACATTTTATTTTCTGTAACTAACTTCATAAAAAAATGAATGGTTTTGTAATTTACATTTTGGCTAAATAGATCATGCGGTCCGAGAATTAAGAGAAGAGAAGAGATTACAATATATATAGTTTATTTATTAAGTAGATAACATGTAAAAATAAATAGTTGGACATAACTTTATCAACTGGTCATACCGGAGAATTAATAGAATAGATGAAACCACCTGAAATAATCAGTGGAAAATGTCTGAAGAGTCCTACTACATCTCTCCATACATATGCTCAGATGACGAAAATGAAGATGAAGACGACTACAACATGTGCAAATGTAATGCCCACTAATGGTTTCCCTATATCTGCTACATCGATGTGTTAATTTCGGAAGGTTTGAAAGATTGTTTATTGATCTTACAATTATCACATGATTTTTTTTTCTAGTTTTGGTTTTATTCGTAAAATCAGAAATCATTTTCGATAGATCATTTATCCTTTCACTATGGATACACTTAACTCTCCTTTCACTATAGATACACTTAACTCTGAAATTCTAAATGGATTTATGCCAAAGAAAGTAAACGCATTTTTGTGATATAAGTAACCAAATCATTTTTAAAAAAGTTATTTCATATACTACAAACCATGATTTTACAATTCACAATGATTGTCACTCATTGGCACTTCAACATCGTCACTCATGTTAATGTGAATCTTCACTGAATCTCTGATACCACTTGAAAAATCTCGAATGTCCATGGCTAATAGATCTTCCATGCTCATTCCCTTGATCTGTAGTTCCATCCCGTTTGACGGATCCTCTGAGACAGTAAAACGTTGTGGGTTCAATTTCCCTTTCTCTTTGCTTAAATCTGTAGAGTAGTCTGTGAATACTCTCTTTATGTTTAACCTACTGTATAAAATGATCCTATTATCAAAAATCGAATCTGTCAAGATTCCTTTTTGCTTTTGCAAGGATTAGTGTATGGGTAATGTAATAGTCAATTAGTCATCAAATGATCTTATTATCAAAAATCGAATCTGTCAAGATTCCCTTTTGCTTTTGCAAGGATTAGTGTATGGGTAATGTAATAATCAATTAGTCCATCTCACTGACATTCACATTCATACTAAACGGCTAGTTTCTATTTATATATGTATTCTTATGTTCAGTGGATTCTCATAGTGGAAAGAGCCAGGTGGTGCTGAAAACAAGAGATTTGTACATTTTCAATATAACCAAACTCTCACTACTACTTTGTTTAATGCTAGAATACTCCACTTTGTGTATCACACGATCAGTTCTTATATATTTAAGAAATCAGCAAAAGTTATAGAATATGGTCAATAGGGTATTACTACTGCACAAAACACTAAAAATGCTGATTAAGTAGTAAATATGTTAACTGAGATACATTATGTGAAATGTGATCCAAGATGAGTTAACAATGTTGTTAACAACAGTAAACAGTCAAACTTAGTTGGTGAGTCAAATTTGACTTGTCATTATTAATAGAGACAGATAAATAAATAAAGAATTTAAATGAAGTAAAAAGATAACATTCCATCGTATTCCAATGCACGTGGTGGCGCCATATATGTGCCATTAAAACGGTCAGTTTTGATTTTTGCGTCCATTTATCAGGCCCCACCCGACCCGCTCCTCCACACTTTAACGAACCCAAATACGACGCCGCATACAGCTCCTTCCTAATCCTAATAACCGTTATCAAATCAAATTACAACTAAACCCTCATCTTCCTCATTCATATCAATTCGAATCCATTTTCCCACCACACCAACAACCTCTCTCTTCTCTCTAATGGCTTCTTCAAGAAAGCTTCTTGCTCTCTTCTTCTTCTTCATCTTCCTCTCCCCAATCTTCGTCACCTCCGATAACAACGTAAACTTCACCTTCAAATCCTTCACAATCCGAAACCTCACATTCCTCGGCGACTCCCACCTTAAAAACGGCGTCGTGGGACTAACCCGGGAGCTAGGCGTACCCGACACAAGCTCAGGAACCGTAATCTACAACACACCAATCCGTTTCTACGATCCAGCTTCAAACACCACGTCGTCTTTCTCCACACACTTCACCTTCTCCGTCCAAAACGTGAACCCAGACTCCTCCTCCTCCGGAGACGGACTCTCCTTCTTCCTCTCCCACGACAACGACACCTTAGGAAGCCCCGGCGAGTTCCTCGGCCTCGTCAACTCCTCTCAGCCCATGAAGAACCGCTTCGTCGCGATCGAATTCGACACCAAGCTCGATCCTCACTTCAATGACCCGAGCGGGAACCACGTCGGCTTAGACGTGGATAGTTTGAACTCAATCGCCACGTCGGATCCGTCGATCGATCTCAAATCAGGGAAATCGATCACTTCTTGGATCGATTACAAGAACGAGATCCGTTTGCTTAACGTCTTCTTGGATTACTCTGATGCGAAGAAGCCAGAGAAGCCGATTTTATCTGTAAACATCGATCTTTCTCCGTTCTTGAACGGTGAGATGTACGTAGGGTTCTCTGGATCAACGGAAGGGAGCACAGAGATTCATCTCATCGAGAATTGGAGTTTCAAGACGTCGGGGTTTGTGCCGGTTAGATCGAAATCTAGTCGTCCTCACAATGTCTCAGGTAGCTCTGTAGCTCCTGTGGCTATACCTAAGGGTCAAAGACATCAAAGACGTCAAAGACACAGTCTTGCTATTGGACTTGGCATCTCTTTCCCTGTCTTCTTCTGTTTAGCTCTATTGGTGTTTGGTTACTTTACTTTAAAGAAGCTGAAAGGAGTTAAAGCGGAGAAGGAGCTTAAGACGGAGCTTATCACTGGCCTTAGGGAGTTTAGTTACAGAGAGCTTTACGGAGCTACGAAAGGGTTTCATTCAAGTCGTGTCATTGGGAGAGGAGCGTTTGGGAATGTGTACAGAGCGATGTTTGTTTCTTCAGGGACGATTTCTGCGGTGAAGAGATCGAGACATAACTCGACGGAAGGGAGGACGGAGTTTTTAGCTGAGTTGTCGATTATTGCTTGCTTGCGGCACAAGAATCTTGTTCAGTTGCAGGGTTGGTGTAACGAGAAGGGAGAGTTGCTTCTTGTTTATGAGTTTATGCCTAATGGGAGTCTTGATAAGATTCTGTATCAGGAGTCGGAGACGGGTGGTGTGTCTCTTGACTGGTCGCATAGGTTGAACATAGCCATTGGTTTGGCTTCGGCTTTGTCTTATCTTCACCATGAGTGTGAGCAGCAGGTGGTTCATAGAGATATAAAGGCAAGCAATATAATGCTTGACATTAACTTCAACGCTAGGCTTGGTGATTTTGGTCTGGCGAGGCTCACTGAGCATGATAAAAGCCCTATCTCGACGTTGACAGCTGGTACGATGGGGTATCTAGCACCGGAGTATCTCCAGTACGGGACTGCGACTGAGAAAACAGATGCGTTTAGCTACGGAGTGGTGATTCTTGAGATTGCTTGTGGGAAAAGGCCGATAGATAAGGAGCCGGAGAATCAGAAGACTGTGAACTTGGTGGATTGGGTTTGGAGATTGCATAGTGAAGGGAGAGTTCTTGAAGCTGTGGATGAGAGGTTGAGAGGCGAGTTTGATGAGGGAATGATGAAGAAGCTGTTGTTGGTTGGGCTTATGTGTGCTCATCCAGATAGTAATGAGAGACCATCTATGAGACGTGTTCTTCAGATATTGAATAATGAGGTTGAGCCTAGTCCGGTTCCGAGGATGAAACCTACACTATCTTTCTCTATTGGGTTAATAAGTCTTGATGATATTGTTTCCAAAGATGATGGAGACAGCATCGTGTAGAAGTTCTTTTTTTAATTCTTTCGTTTGAAATTTGTTTTTGATTTGTGTAACAATGTGTGGCCTTTGGTTCAATGAGTTTATATTGAACGGTTAGGCTTTTGTATTCATATAAATTCCATTTCACAATCCAGTTCAAAATGCTCATCTTCATACAGATTACTCAAGAACCAAGTAAAAACAAAACAAAGCAATATGTCTTGGTGGTGACAGAAGTAAAAGAGTACTTTGAAATGGTTGATAGTACAGAGCAAAAAAAACAGAACAAACCTTAGTTTCAAGTTGAAGAAGAAGAGTGTGAAGTAGTTATAGACATATAATAGGTCTTGGTGGTCAACATGTCTGTGGCCTGATGAAAGAAAAATAACCCGGTCTGGTTTATAAATCCCTGACGAAAACAGAAGCTGTGAATGTAGAAATCACCAAGTAACTTTACCTTCTTTGAAACTCAAGAAACCTTGTTTGAGTGATCTACAGTATGTTTATACACCACTTACGCTCACACGACCACATAACATCAGAATGATGATGGTGACAGAAGTAAAGAGAGCACACTCCCGACAAGGGCAAAACTTTCTTTTTGCTAATCCCGGCTTGTGCTCTCTTTCTTCTGTCAACATTTTCCTCATCTTCTTCTCAAGAAGGAAGAAGAAAGAAGAAGTGTGACGTGCTGCGTAAGTAAGCAGTGACGGTGGGTATATGTGACTCAGATTTATAGTGAGGGAGAGTGTTATTGGTTGCAACCAGTGATAAAAGATGGAGACGGGCTAAAGTGGGGTCCATGAGAAAAGGAAGCTGAAAATGGACCTGAGATAACTTGCAGTAATGAAACTGGAAGTTTCTGCAAAATTAGAGATTCTCCTACCGCTTCGCTTTCACATTAATTGTTCTGTGATTCTTTTAAGAACTTGATAATGATATACATCTTTTACAGTTTTCATTTTTATAGGTTTTAAGAGTTTTATTAGCATACAATAAAGTCACATATATCTCCAATTTCTCATTTCTAATCATAAGAGACTCGACATGATGATATATTACATGAAGCAAAAAAAAACTACAATTTTACTAATCCGACGTTTTGTTTTTGCAAGCGTTAGAGCATTCCAATGAGGATTCCACCCATTAAGATTCTAAAATGTGTATATTTATATATATATATATATATATATATATATATATATATATATATTATATATGTGTTTGTAGAAGTGGAATGCACAAAATATTGTAGAACCCTCCATACAAAAGTTTTAAAAACAAATTTTTAGAACTTTTGGATGGAGGTTCTACATTATTTTGTGGAACCTACATACATACACATATATAATACATACATACACAAAAATATACACATTTTAGAATTTTAATGGGGTCCATTGGAGGTGCTCTTTCTTACATGATATAATCTGCAATTTTAAATCATTTTCCTACAGTTAAGATGATAAAGAAATGCATAGTCTAATGTGATACTCGTGAATAAGGCAGGCGTAAGACTCGGAAGTTGCTTTGACCAAACTGAACAAGCCAACACTTTAAAGCTCGTCATCGACATCTCACCTACTCTACGCTCCCTTCCTTTTAATCTCATCCCCTCCATTAACAACCAGATCCTTCTAGTTGTAGTGGACCCACCGTCAAATTAACCCACGTGTTGAGTTTACACATTCAGAATGGGCTTATACCAAAAAGCCCATGTAGTACAAAACAAAGCCTTTATAAATTTAGCCCAACTACGTTTCCAGCTTTTGCCACCGGCGGGGGCACAGTGAGAAGAAAGAACATAGGAGAAGGAATGAGAAACATTTTGAACTGAACTGACCGGTAAGGAGAAGCAGCAGCCATGTCCGGTTTCTCGACCTTAATTTCTCATAGAAATGGAGGAATCTCTCTATTGCGTCTGGGTTCTTCAAAACTCGGATGTTTCTCTCGAGTAGGGTTTTCTTCCGGCGTCGTAAAACAGTCGAAACGAGATGATTATGCTTTTGGTGTCACTGGTGAGTTTCTTCTGCTGAATTCTCTATCTTAGACTGAATATTTTCTATGGGTTTTGCTAAAGATTTGAACTTTTTGGGTTTCTATGAAACAGAATTTGATATGGAGAAGAGCATATACAACATTCTTACTATCGACCGTTGGGGATCTCTAAACCATATGGATTATAAACAAACTCGTCTTAGACCAGTTCACGGGAAGCTAGCTTTAAAGTTTCTCAAATGGGTAGTTAAGCAACCAGGTTTGGAGCCTGACCATCTTCTTCAACTGTTTTGCATCACTGCTCATATACTTGTTAGAGCTAGAATGTATGACCCTGCAAGACACATCTTGAAAGAGTTGTCTTTGATGGGTGATAAACCAAGCCTTGTTTTTGGTGCTTTGATGGCTACTTACCGGCTCTGCAACTCAAACCCTGCTGTTTTCGACATCTTGATTCGTGTGTATATGAGAGAAGGAATGGTTCAAGAATCTATGGAGATATTTCGTTTGATGGGTCTTTACGGGTTCAACCCTTCTGTTTATACTTGTAATGGAATGCTAGGTTCCATTGTGAAGAGTGATGGGGATGTGTCAGTCTGGTCTTTCTTGAAGGAGATGCTCAAGAGGAAGATTTGTCCAGACGTGGCTACCTTCAATATACTAATTAATGTACTCTGTGCTGAAGGGAACTTTAAAAAATCGCGTTATCTAATGGAAAAGATGGAGAAGAGTGGTTATTCTCCAACTATAGTTACATACAACACTGTTCTCCATTGGTATTGTAAAAAGGGGAGATTTAAAGCTGCTGGGGAGCTTATAGACCACATGAAGTCCAAAGGGGTTGACGCAGATGTATGTACATATAATATGATTATCCACGATTTGTGCAGAAACAGTAGAAGTGCGAGAGGCTATTTGCTGCTGAGGAAAATGAGGAAGAGGATGATTTACCCCAACGAAGTCACGTATAATACACTGATTAATGGGTTTTCTAATGAAGGAAAGGTTCTCATTGCTCGTCAACTTTTGGATGAGATGTTAACCTTTGGACTTTCTCCTAATCATGTTAGTTTCAATGCTTTGATTGATGGATACAATAGAGAGGGGAATTTTGAAGAGGCTCTGAAGATTTTTTATATGATGAAAGCACAAGGCCTTATCCCTACTGAAGTTAGCTATGGGGTACTTTTAGATGGTTTGTGCAAGCATGCAGAGTTTGATTTAGCGAGAGGTTTTTACATGAGAATGAAGAGAGATGGGATTTCTGTTGGGAAAATAACGTACACTGGAATGATTGATGGGTTATGCAAGAATGGGCTATTGGATGAAGCTGTTGAGATGCTTAACGAAATGAGCAAAGATGGTATTGATCCTGATATTGTCACATACTCAGCACTTATAAATGGATTTTGCAAAGTTAGGAGGTTTAAAACTGCTAAAGAGATAGTCTGCAGAATTTACCGAGCTGGTCTTAGTCCAAATGGCATCATATACTCAACGCTGATATACAATTATTGCAGGATGGGATGCTTAAAGGAAGCTTTAAGAATTTACGAAGCTATGATCCTCGAGGGTCATACTCCAGACCATTTCACGTTCAATGTACTTGTCGCTTCGCTATGTAAAGCTGGTAAAATGGATGAGGCGCAAGAATTTATGAGTTGCATGGCAGGTGATGGTATTCTTCCTAACGCAGTTAGCTTTGATTGTCTTATCAACGGGTATGGAAGCTCGGGTGAAGGGCTAAAAGCATTCTCTATATTTGATGAGATGACCAAAGTAGGCCATCACCCATCTTTCTTCACATATGGTAGTCTACTCAAGGGATTATGCAAAGGTGGGCATCTGAAAGAGGCAGAGAAGTTTCTGAAAAGCCTCCATGATGTTCCTGCAGCGGTTGACACTGTGATGTACAACACACTACTCACTGCAATGTGTAGATCAGGGAACTTGGACAAGGCTGTCTCTCTTTTTGGTGAGATGGTGCAGCGAAGCATTCTGCCTGACAGTTATACATATACCAGTCTTATTTCTGGGTTGTGTAGGAAGGGCAAGACTGTTATTGCCATACTCTTTGCTAAGGAAGCTGAGGCTCGAGGTAACTTACTTCCCAACGAGGTGATGTATACCTGTTTTGTGGATGGTATGTTCAAGTCTGGTCAGTGGGAAGCTGCTTTTTATTTACGGGAGAAAATGGAGAAGCTTGGACTTACCCCTGATGCTGTCACAACAAACGCAATGATTGACGGTTATTCAAGGATGGGGAAAATAGAGAAGACTAGTGACATGCTTTCTGAAATGGAACCTAATCTGACTACTTACAATATCCTTTTGCATGGGTATTCAAAGAGGAAAGACATATCAACGACCTTTAAGCTGTATAGATCCATGAGACTGGACGGCGTTTTGCCTGACAAGCTCACATGCCATTCTCTTATTCTAGGTATGTGTGAATCCAACGTGCTGGAGATTGGTCTTAAAATCTTGAAAGCATTCATATGCCGAGGCTTTGAAGTTGATAGAAGTACGTTCAACATGCTAATCTCCAAATGTTGTGCAAATGGTGAGATCAGCAAGGCATTTGATCTAGTTAACGTCATGACCTTACTAGGAATTTCCCTTGACAAATATACGTATGATGCCATTGTAAGTGTCCTCAACAGAAACCACAGATTCCAGGAATCTCGCATGGTTCTGAACGCAATGTCGAAGCAAGGTTTATCTCCTGATTGTACCAAGTACATAAGTCTGCTTAATGGTCTTTGTAGAGTGGGAGATATAAAGACTGCGTTTATGCTGAAAGATGAGATGATAGCACATAGGACATGTCCGCCTAATGTAGCTGAGAGTGCTATGGTGAGAGCGCTTGCAAAATGTGGTAAGGCTGAAGAAGCTACTCTGCTTCTTCGTTCCATGATGAAAAAGAAGTTGGTTCCGACTATTGCTAGCTTCACTACTCTAATGCACATGTTTTGCAAGAACGGTGACGTTACAGAGGCTCTGGAATTGAGAGGCGTTGTAAGAAACTGTGGCCTGAAGCTTGATCTCGTGTCGTACAATGTATTGATTAGTGGACTTTGTGCTAAAGGTGATATGGCAGCTGCTTTTAAACTCTATGAAGAGATGAAGCAAGATGGGTTCTTAGCTAATGCGACTACTTACAAAGCTCTCATCAGTGGGATTCTTCCCCTAGATACCGCATTCTCAGGGACTGATATTATCATGGAAGATTTACTTGCGAGAGGATTCATAACATCCTTTAGCTCGTCTCAAGATTCACACAAAACCTTGACAATGGTCATGGAGAAGCTGAAGGCCTTGCAGAGTCACAAGAAGGGATAAGATCAGAACAATCTTTAAAAGTAAATCATATGATCTTTTTCCCTAAGAAACTTAACCTCATATCTTGAGGATCTCCGCTTATTTACGGCTATCCTGTATTTTGTTTTCTGCTTAATTACCAGGTGAAATTGCAGTTTATCACTGTGAAGAGCTGGATCTGTAGAGGAACCAGCTAAAAAATCTCATTGAGCTTTGTCTGAGTCACAGTATGAATCTTTACGTTATTATTCACTTCCCTGATTAGCAATTAAGTATGCAATCATAGTTATACTTTTGTTTTCTCTTGGCTAATTGACAGTTCTTGATGTGAATGCCAACCAGTTCCAGAAGCTCAAGCACTTGAACCTTGTGCTGTTATGAAGAACAAGACAAGCTAGACAGTGAAGCTTCGTCATCACTGGCTCTTCTCCCTGACAAATACAACTCAAAAACGATACCAATCAAAAGATCAAGAGTCTTAATTGAGTTTCTTTAAACTCCAGGTGTGTTGCTGTCTTTACTCCACTTGTGTTAAAGATCTTTATTTGTTTGTTTTTCTTACATTTTTCTTTTTGTATTTTTCTCTTTACAGAAGAGGAAGAGGAACAAACTCTGAAGAATAGCTGGAGCTGTGTTGGCAATTCATGTGCTAATTTCACCTGTAAATCAGTCTGGACTCATTCAGATAATGATTTACAATGGAAAACGGGTAATGAAATGCAGAAACCATGGAAGAAAGCAAACGGTTCTTCTCTGCGTTTTTAAAGGAATCTTTTGATAAAAATACTGTCGGAATAGAGATAGAGAAACTAGTTTGTTGTGTTTGGATGGTGTCTGATGGATCTTGAAGCAGACAGAATCTAACATTTGGTCAGATTGCATCACTGGATTTGTACCGTCTTGCAGTACCACTCGTGAGCCTGTAACACAAATATTATTATTAATACAGTAATTATCATATGCTTTAAAATGTGTAGATTGTCCGTTAGTCTTCTAACAATGTATTTTACATTCATATCAATTTCCGTTTATATCAATATTGTACAAAAATTGGTTGCACTCTTCAGGAATAAATAAAAAATATGCGTATGCATGTCAGAGAGTCACAGCTAATACTCAACACAGTTATAAAATATAGGGAAATTACCAGAAATAACACTTTCAAGATACCATTTTTCAACTTTACACTAACCAATTTTACCATTAAAATTTTAATAGTCAAAATACTATTAGAACTTAGGGTTTAGGGTGTTGGGTTTAAGATTGATAGTTTAGGGTTTAGTGTTGTTTTTTTAGGGTTTAGGGTTTACTTTTTAGGGTTTAGAGTTTAGGGTTTAAGGGTTTAAAATTGATATTTTAGGATTTAGGGTTGATTTTTAGGGTTTAGAGTTTACTTTTTAGGGTCTAGAGTTTAGAATTGATGTTTTAGGGTTTGAGATTAATATTTATTTTATGTATATATATAAAGAACAATGATATAAGAGTCTTTTATCCTTTAATAAACTGTGTATTTTTGAAAAAGTTTTTTTATTGATAGTAAACATGAAAAGTGATACCAGCAAAGTGGTATAATTGAAATTCTCCCAATATATATCGAATCTGTATGGTCTATTAATTAAAGACGTACAAGAAAACTAAAACAGCTAGTGGATTAAGATATAGATTCACAAATTTGTAGATGATTGACGACGGATATGACATTTCAGATTATAATTTTGTCAAACAACAATCGTTGTTAGGAACAAAAATATTATTTACTCATTTCCATTAAAATTAACGTAAGCTAATCATATTTTATCAACACAAATAGGCCACTTGATAAAAATTCTACTACAGTGAACAACTAACTAGTGTCATTATTTTGACAAAATCATTTCAGACATCTTGTAAAACTGATGTTTATATATAAAAAGAAAAGGCAATTGATTTTCTTCTTTGGCAACTATGCTTATAATTTTGAAAATTTAGATAAGAATAATTTATGAATAAAAGATTATTGACAAATTAAGGATACAGAACAAAACAGTGCCAGCAAGTCACTTCCTTTTGCATCGGTCTGAAAACATATATGCTAAAAATTAACAGCCGTTAGCCAGCTCATCTTCCCGTTTAGAAACCTAAAGACGATCACGTCACTGTGATTAACTCCGTTTATATAAAAAGAGAGAGAGAAGAAGCAGAAAGAAAAAAAAGTTTATAGAGAAGAAAAAAAAGAAGGAAAAATCAGAAAGAGAGAAATAAAGAAGAAAAGTCTCTTTTTTTTTTTTTTTTTTTTTTTTTTTTTTTTTTTTTTTTTTTCTAAAACTATCATAAACAAGAACCAAAAGAGAGAGAGAGAAGAGAAGAGAGAAAAAGAACATCGGTCGCCGATGTCCGGAGGCGCGTCCGCGCGCGTGCCGGCGTTGGTGACTCTTTTCTCTTCTGTTTTAGTTCAGTAGTATTGCTGTGGGCTTCGATCTGTCGTTTTTTCCGATATACTGGCGGTTCTGGGTTAGGGTTTTGCGTCAGGAAGAACTCCGCTCGTGGGGTGTTTTGTACGGCGACATCTCTGCTTTCTCTGGCTCCGCCGTGAGGTTGAAGGGCGGTATTTCGAAGAGGCCGTCGGCTTTGAGTCCAGTGTTATTTTCCGGGGGGTAGAGGCTCTCTCAGCTCTGCGACCGTCGGCCCTTGTTCCCGGGAGACGGTGGCTTCGTCAGCATCGCCTTCGCCGGCTCCAGTTTCTGGGAGGTGGTAGCTCCGTTAGTATCGCTCTCTTCAGTTTAGTTTTTTCTTTAGTTTCTTGTAGTTTTTTCTTTCATCTTCTTCTACGAGGTCTTTCTTCAAAGCTTTTGCGCCTCTTGATCCTTCTCCTGAAACCGCATCGTGATGAGGGTGGTGATGGATCGATTGTAGGTGGTCAATCAGGTAACCTCGTAGATTGTGTTTGGTGTGTGGTGTTCCTGTCAGTTTGGGATTCGGATGAGATCGACTTATGTCGTCTGATGCTCTTCGATGGTTGGTCTCCCAAACGGTGAAGGTAGCGCAGGATCGAGTTGCGGGTGGTGCGGCGCCGTTGTCGCCAGTGAGCAGCAGAGATTAGGGTTTCATGCCCTTGGGCTGTTTTGTCGGGCTTTAGGCCCAGTTTGTATGGTCTTTCTGGATGGGCCAACAGTTTGGGTCTTTGTTTGTTGTAGTCTGATTGGGCTTTGGTTTTTTATAAAATGATTCAGAGGAAAAAAAAAAGTCTCTCTTTTTTCTTTCTTCTCCCAGATTCTCTTTCCTCCTGCGATCATCATATCTTTTTTTTCTCTCACTTCCTTGGTTTTCTCGGCGGCTCCATCTTCTTTTTTCTCAGAATCGTTTTGTTTCCATATTTTCTGGGAATAAATCTTCCTCCTTTCTGCAGACGCCATGTCGGTACGTTTTAAAAAATCTTATCTCTTTTAAGAAAATTTTGTTTTTGTTCCTTAGTGATATATGCCTGAGAATATAGTTTCATTTTGATCGGAGTGTTTTTTTTTGTTCCGTCAGCTGAGTAGTTTTGTCTGAAATCGTGTATGTTGGGTAAATAGATGTAATCCTTTTACCGGATCTTGGTTTTTCACTTTTAAAGTTTCCATCTTTGGTTTCTATTTAATCTGAATTTGATTGTTTAAGCTCAGATTCAGCGTTGGTTTCTCCTTTTAGCTAAGATTTTGATCAAGTAGCGGTTCTGATCTTCGACTTGAGACTAATTAGTTCTGATACTGTGAAGTTTGTCTTGTGTGTTAGCTTTTATATTTCTCCCAGATTAGTTTTGATAGTGAAATGACATATGAATATTGTGTGGGTCATTTGTTTAGGTACAGGCAGAAGATCTTTTATGCCTTTTTAATTTGTTTTTGCTTATATTAAAGTGGACAGTAACATTTGAATATTTCTTTTGGTCAGTGTTGATACTCTTGCTGAGTTATGGTGTAATATGTTTGCTTGAAAAATGATAACTTTGCTTAGTTTGGACTATTGTTCAAACTTTATCTCTGATACTTGATGGTATAACTTGTTTCATTACTCATCAGTTAACTCCTTGTTTCATATGTGTTTTTGTGATATTATCTTTGTGTCTTCTGTGATTTGCTTACAAGGGGTGAAAGGCTAAATTAGTAATCCTTTATCAGTTCTGTTATGGATGTTTATTGTTTCTTCATTTTCAAGAGTTTAGAGTTTACACTCATTTTAGAAATGGTATGAACTTGACAATATATGTGATGAATATACAATCAAAATTCATCTGATTTGGCTCAAAAGGATTACATACATTTTGAGTTTAGAGAGTTTAACTTGTTTCTGTTGATGTTTTGGGTTTCCCATTTGGGTGTTTAAATGAACAGGACAAAGGTCGTCCCTTGCCGAAGTTTGGTGAATGGGATGTGAATGATCCAGCATCAGCAGAAGGTTTCACAGTGATATTCAACAAAGCTAGGGATGAGAAAAAGACCGGTGGCAAACCCGGATCACCCGGTAAATCTTCTGATGGTCATGCTAAGTCCGGAGGAGGTGGAGGAGGAGATCCTAGTAAACCTCAGCCTGTAAGTTTCTTACTCTCTTTTTGTCAGTCTTCTCTGTCTCTCTTTCAAATCATTGTCAGTCAAATTGTGAGCTCTTTGGTTTCAGAAAAAATGGCTCTGCTGCATGCAGTCTCCGGCAGTGGACTCTTGATTGACACAAAGATGGATTTGCTTGCTGCGAAACAAAAAGAAAGGAGTCACTTTGCTTAGATATCTAAAGCAATTGTCTTTTTTTTTTATGTTTTATTGTCATTTCTTGAAAGTACCCACAACTACAAAAAAAAAAAAAGTTCCTAAGATGAGTTGGAGCCTCCCTTTAGTATCACGATTATGATTCTTCTTCTTCTTTGAAGTTGTTTGTTCTTCTATAAAAATGCTGTATAATCGTGTTGTCACTTTTATTGGAAAACCAGAAAGAAAAGAAAAACAAAAAGAAAAACATAGTAATTGTGTATGTAATGATTCTTATGGGTCGGTTTTAGGGTTTAATTTTATGGTGTCTTTTCCCTTTTTAAAAAAAGAAATGTTCTTGGAACAAATAAAATGTTATAGACTATAGTATATGCTATGTTGGAATGTCGACCCTTTCGTCATTTGCCACGAAACTGTGAAGATCCTTTGAATGAAAAAATTACAAACCCTTAGTTTAAGTTACTCTTAATCGCATAAAGACGATAATCCAAATACGTGGAAGTTAGGTAGAATGATGGGCTTTTGCTGGTCCGTTGCTGGATATGTAGCCAAGGCCTTAATCAATACTGTAAGGAGACCTTTTATGTGATCCTCTGAACCTTATAAACATAAATGTGAAACGTTTTCTATCAATTGTAGTATAATTTTCATCAAACTGTTGCAATAAATTTGAGTTTTAGCATCTTTCGGTCAAAGTGAGACAAACAAAAAAAAAAACAGAAAAGGGTGTGCATCAAATTTTGTGATGATCAACAACTATCAAGAGTGGTATAGGGGTGGGCACGGATCGGATATCCGGGTTTTTTAAGGTATTTGTGATTTGCTTCGAATGTTACGGATATCTAATTTTGGTATTTGCTTTGCTTT